AGGACCCACTGACAGTCACTTGGTGTAGACGCTGCCATGAGGAGCAAAGGGGGCGTAGTCACACGTCAGAGGGGCTCCTGGGCGACCAAGGAGCAGGAGCTGGAGGAAATCAGGTTGGTGTCCTTCCTGCATGGGGCCAGCACGGCAAGGCTCTGGGTGCAGAGGAGCTCGTGGCACAGACCCTGCCCAACCGCTAGGACCACAGCCCCTCCCCCTGGGTTCCCTTCTTGCCCAGGTTCCAAGCAGGGGCTCCAAGAGCCTCCCACAGACCTCCCCGGTACCCTCCCTTTCTCAGATACCAGAGAAGTTGCTTCCGGGAAACCTCAGGCTGTTCTGACACGCCTGTTCAGCGGTTTGGAAATGAGGTAGAATTTGGAGTCAGAAGACTTGAGTCTGACTTCCGATTTCAATCAGTACCTACAGGGACTGGGCTGTGACTTCCGTAGTCCTGCGTCTCAGGCTTCTTGAAACAATGAAGATAATGGTGCCTATGGCTTAGGGTGAATAAGAGCAGGCGGCACTTTGTACACATCTCCATTTTAGATTGATGCCTACTTAATTAGGGATGCGCTTCCATGACCTCCCCACCAGCCCATGAGATCTCCAAAGCACTTCAGCTCCCAGCTCACTGCCTGGAACACAGCGGAGACTCCAAACAACCCTTGTCTGACTGACGGACGGGTCAGGATGAGCTGTCTCCGGTGAAACTGTTTTCCTTAAACTGCGGATACATCCCCACTGCAGTGCTCTATGTATACATCTTATCATAAAAATAAAGAACACAGAAGATGGCAGCTATGAATCATTCACTTAAAAGTCTCTGACAGCAGGAATGAATAAATATGGAAGATGCTATAAAAAGCGAGAGTGTAGAAATGAGTTATAATTGCCATCGTAAGCGATGAGGAGTCATCTGCAAACCTACCTGCAGCGAGGTGTTTAGAGTGCAAGGCATATGTAACCCAGCAGGAGAATCTGCAGGAAGGGAGGGCGGCTTCAGCAGCCAGGCCCATGCCACAGGGGCAACCTCATCTCACGGAGAAAACAGATGCGACTGGCTGGGGCATCCCCGGCTCCCCGCTACGGCCTCTCTGTGCATACTCACATGGACCCGGAGGCCTGGCCTTCCCAGCTGCTGACAACGGGACAGGTGTCCACCCTCTTACCGAAGGGTCATGGCCCTTGCCTCCTACCCTCTGTCTTCCCATACGGCTTCTCCCTTGCCTGAGCGATTTCCTTCTCTCTTCCTTGTACCGTTTCTGTTCGCCTTGTTGAATGCGGATATGGATTTATATGAATTTGTACAGCCTGGAAGGCCGAAACAGTCATTTCCAAAGGCTCTGATGTCACGGGTTAAAGAGAAGTAAATCACATCTACTTATAGTGGGATGGGCAGAGTAAGGCATTCAGATGCTCACAGGGAAAATACTCTCTCCTTTAACAATATTCTCTCTTTACCCGGTTCATCTTCCACTTATCTTTCCACTTGTCTGGTCCCTTTTAGCAGAAAAATGCTCAACAGCTTTTTCTACACTCAGCATTTCCAAAGCCTTCCCTCCACTCTCTCCTAATCAGTCCTGTGGTGCTGTTTCCCTTCTGTTCCATTGACACGGCCCCTTTAAGATGGCCAGTGACCTCAGTGTCACCAAAGCCAGCAGTCATTTTTCTCTCTGTATTTATTTCAGGTGACTTCTAAGTAAGCGGCAGAACAGTACAGCTGGGGAGGTGTGTGTGACTGGTGCTGGCCAGGGCCGGGAGAGGCAGTGACACTTGTGACTTCCTGGCTGGCACTGAAGAGCCCCGTGTGGTTACACTCTTTCTTGCCTGAACCCGGCAATGGGGTCACCCCGATGTGGTCTCCATCAGCCCGGGACACTGCTCCCTCCTGATTTCCCTGCTCCTCTGGCTTCTCTTCCTGATGCTCACATACACAGGAGGACTCAGCCCTGGGCACACCTCTTGTCATTTCAGTCGCATGGCTTTGCTGTGTCTTAGGTACAAATGGCTCCAAAATGTGTATCTTCAGCCCTGCCCTCTCCTTTGAGGGCCAACGTGGGATTTCGCTTGAAATCTCTACTCGCATGTCTAACTGACATCTCAAACGCATCCCCCACATTTCATACTCCTCCCCAATCTCTACACGCTGCATCCCCGACGTGTTTCCATATTAGTAAAGGGCACCATTTGCTGAAGCAAAAGTCCTAGGCTGCTCCTTGGCTCCGAGAGCCCACTGTGACGTCGGCTTCGTCAGCAGCTCCCGTTGGCCATTCTTTGAAAATCGGCTTCACGCTGTCTGCTTTAAATTCTCTAGGGGATTCCCATGGCAACCCCAAACCCGAGGGAACCCCAACCCTGGCCCAGCAGGCTCCGACAGCCATTGCTCCTTGTGCCCCGCCCAGGTTTCCTCTGTACCTGCCTCCTGTTTACTGGCCTTGCACGGCAATACTAACTCTGCCTCTTACTACGTGCGGCCCGCTTCTCTGTCTGGAACGTTCTTTCCTTGGATCTTTGTGATTATCAACTCCTTATTCTGTGTTCAGCTCATGCATCACCACCCACCCCACCCCAATGGTCTCCTACCCTCTGGTTCATCTGAAACCACAGGTACACATGTATGGGACAGAACGAAAGCTTCCCGACGCCAGAATGGAAGCTGACCTATGTTGGCACCGCTCCTACTCTAGTGCTGAGGGAAGGGAGAAAGGAAGAGAAAAGTTTCAGTCCTGTGGGAAGATGGTCTGAGAATAGGTCCCAGACTGGGGCCCTTGCATACAAAGGCCTTTGCAAATGGAGCCAGCCTGCTCCTCTGTGAGGATTCTGACCCCAGGACCGGTCCCTCTGTTTATACCACGTTCAGAGTTGTCAGAGGGACCTGTTTGGGCTCAGCTTCCCCGAGCCTTTCACTCTTTCTCACTAGGTTTTCAGGTTTGTGGTCATGATTTGTTTTTATTTCTTGCATTTTAGGCCTCTAAACAATTATTTCTGAAGGGAACCGAAACAGCTGCCGCATACAAATATGAATACATGTGCCTTGCACTTTCTCAACGGAGCAGTTAGTTCCCCAGGAGTCAGGGATATTAAGCCATTTGGGAAGGTTTCTGGGGAATTTCTTTTTAAATACAATGACCTCTAGGAGTTCAGAGAGAGACGCAGCCAGCCCAGGAAGAAAGTCCTACAGATATTGACTCCCACATGGGGTCAGTTGCTTGATGAGGCAGAACACAGGAAAGGTTATTATCTTACTTTTTCTAATTATCAAGGTCTAGGCTGCTCCTTGCAGACATTCTGGTAAATACAGAGTGCTGCAGAGAAGCAAGAAAAAGAAATCACTCATAACCCCTTCCCTCTCCTAGTTCTTCTCAGGAAGTTTTACTATCTAGTTCAGATGAAACTGTGCACACAATTTTGTAGCATGTTTATATTTTACTTAATACTATCTCATCATCTTTTTTATAAGTCATTAAATACGCATGAATATTACTTTTTAGAGCTGTGTAATACATCATCATTATAGTCCATTCCCTAAGATTGGACATTTACATTGTTTTATATAGGTGCCACGTAAATAAGGCTGCAGTAGTGTCTTGGTGCATGAATGCTATTTCACATTGAATTAATCATCTTAGCAAGTATTTATGGTGCCTATGCTATGTCAGTTCCTGTGTTTGGAGCTTGGAGTACAGTGATAGACAAAGCCTTCTTTCCTTGGGAGAATTTACATTCTACTGAAGGCCATAGACAAGAGAAGTAAAGAAATATACTATTCATTAGCTCTGTGAAGACAGATGGTAAAAAATACAAGGATAGAAAGGGATCAGAGGAAGGCGTCCCTGAAGAAGTGATTTTCACAGATGCATTCTGGATTACTTCTGTAGGCTAGCCTCCTGTAGGGAATATCCAAATTAAAGTTCTTGATTTCTAGCAAGCCAGCCGACACCCCGACAGAAGTTCTGAGGGAAAAGAACTGTTAGGTTTGTGAGCTCATTGCTTCATTCTTCTGGTCTGTGGCTTTCCTGTGGGAAGTGGAAATAAGTAGACCTGGGTGTGTATGTGTGTGGTGGTGGCAGAAGAGTGGGAGCGGCTGTGGAGTTGGAATGTTGTATTAGTCAGCTGTCCCGCTGCTAGCACAAAATACCTGATACCTGCCACTTACAGGAGGAGAAGTTTATTTTGGCTTATGTTTTCTGAGGTTTAAATCCATACTTGACTGGCTCCAAGGCAGGAAGCTGATGACAGAGGAAAAGTGCTAAACTCAGAGTATCCAGGAAGCAGAGAACAGAGGAAGAAGCTAGAGAGAAGTGGTCAGGAACAGATGAAGTCCTCGTTTATTTCTTCATGAGCCATTTTCTCCAGCTAGGCCCCACCTCTGAAGAGCCCATTCAGCCATGTACCCATTGATGAGGAGGTTAGTGCACTCACGACCCAATCCCCTCTCCGGGAGTCACAGAAGCCAGTCAGCTTGACGTGTGAGACTAACTGACACAGATTGTTAAGGCTCCTGCTACCCAGAAAAGCCAGGCGAGGAGCATTTATAGTCTGTGAGAAGGGAATGATCAGGCAGTGAAAAGTGTTCTGGGTATTTTGTTAAATGAAACCTAACTGAAAGAAGGTTCTAGAAGGTGTGGTGTGACCATTTCCTGTGACTGGCACGTGTCAGGTGGTCAATAAGAGATACTGAGTGAAAGCAAGGGTCCAAACTCTTGACATGAGTTTGTGGAGACTGGGGTTCCTGAGGAAAGGATGTCTGATCATAGAGTAGCTCAGGATTTGGGAAGCAGGCACCGTAAAGGAAGTGCTTGCTATGGGTGAGTCTGCAGTTCCCGAGCCTGTGAATAGGTGGTGTCCTCATCTGCAAAATGGGGCTAATGATGTCTGCTTCACAGGCTGTGTGGAAGATTAGAGGAACTGATGTGGAAAAATATACATTATCCCTAGTTCACAGCAGGCCCTTGATAAATGCTTGTTTCTCTCCCTCACATTGCATCCTTAGGAGACAACGATCTGGGATAGCGAGAAGTGTGACAGCGTCGCAAATCTCAAAGAGATCAGGGTAAACTGTTTCTCAAAACCCACAGCTGGACAGTGCTTCTGCTTATGGATCAGCATTTGGGCTGTGCTCCTGTGAGTTTTCCAGTCTGCTGTAATAAGACTATTTTGTTAAATATATAAAAAATTCTACGTCGACAAACGCCGAGGAAGGAGCTTTGAGCCTGGCAGATGGCTGGTGGTAAGCAAAGGCTTAAATGGTCTTTTTCTTATTGAAGAAGAGAGTCTGACTGAGAAAACCCAGCTCAGATCGTGTCCCTGACCTCCTTTGGGTCCCTGCAGCAGCACTGTCCCTCCAGATCATGGTCCCTCTTCTTCCAAGCCCTTCCCTCATCTCTCAGCCTTGTCACACTCTTATCCATTGTGCCCTTAGGATCCAGTACCTTCTTTCCATTTTCCAGGAACCAGGGACGTCTGAGGGCTCCCCACCCTCTCAGCAGCTGGTGGAAGTCATGCTCTGCTCTGTCCCATTTCCTCCTGGCCTCAGAGCTCCTACTGTTCTGTCTTCTGCTTTCTTTGTCTGCTCTCTCCATGTGTCAGCAGCACATGAACAGTTTCGTTCTCAGTATTTCCATTAATAGATCACTTTAAAAAAAAATCCTGTCTTTTCTTTATGCCTGGAGCAGAAATGGATTGTGGAAAACAATGCCAAGGGCATGGGGCCCTAATTGGCCCCCATCTGCTATATGGCAGGAAGAGGAAGAAGAAGAAAAGGGCGCTAAAAAGTTAAGTAGCCTGATGAAGAAGCAGCTAAATTTAATCTGCTTTAAAAACTTGGATCGGTCTTCAGCTGTGGCAGAAAATCTTCCTGGCAGATGGCTCAGGCTGAACTAACTGTTGGTGGCTGGTACACTTGGTAGCAGGGACTGGCCTCTCCGCCCAGCTCAGGGAGCAGTCTTGTTGTCCCTGGGTTCACTAACGAGCTCTGCATTGCTTTGGGCAATAATTGCTCTCTGGATATAAAGAATGCAAAGACGGAGCAGGCTGAAAGCCCCTCTGGCTGGGCTTCCTCTTGTTGCAAACAACCAGTCTTTGAACTTATAATTATGAGTCATGGGGCTCCCAGTCTGGTGCAGAAGTGACGCATTTTAACTAAATTATCAGCTTTGGCCCTGTTACTAAATGCTGTGATCAACCATTCTGCATTAAAGGGAAAAGAGTAACATTTTTATTAAGAGAGCAGTATGTGTAGAAAGAGAGCAAACTGTACTATGCTTTCCAGACGCATGGACCAAAGTCAAGCTCTGGCCCAGTGCAAGCCAAGCAACAAAGTAAACAGTAAAAATGGCACAGAAAGCAAATGATCAGGAAAATTCATTTCAGAACTGATGTAAGAATCAACCTTTGCAGCCAGCAGCGTACGATTCCTACAATGTATAATTCTAGGACATTGTCCCCGTTCCCCATCTCTCTTCCAAATCACTCGAGTCTCCTGGAATTGAGGTCAAGAAAGAAGCATCTTTCTTGGGTTGATTTAATCCACAAATCTGTTACAGAACTAGTCATGATAGATGCCTCTGCGTTGTCCAAAGCTAGTTACTTAGACAGATGGACTGACAGACATAGCAATCATACCAAATAAACGTGATCTAGTGACAGTCCTGGGGGAGGCGCATCCTGAGGCCTTCCATTACAGAGCCTGTTCCTGAGGGCACTGGCCACATTAGTCTTTGGTTGAGGAAGTACCGAAAGGATCATTACCTCTTTGTCAGTTGCAAAAGAGGTAACGGATCTGAAAAAAACAATTTCTCTTCTCTGACGCCTCAGGTGTGAATAACACTGTGCAGGACTAGAATAAGGAGAAACAGGCCAGAGTGGACTGGAAGGCTATGAGGGCCAAGTGCGCATTTTTTGGAAGAACAGTTTGAGATTTCCAATTAATCCTTCTAAATAGCTGCCCATTCATCTCCACTGCCGAAGAAGATACTATAAACTGCCTGGGAGATTTGGCTCTGGGTCAAACTGTCTGACTTTCAGATTTTATATCCTTTCCAAATTACTTTCAATTTAAAACTGCTTTTCTTGTTTCTTGAATCCATTACTTCTTGTCCTTCCATAGAAATAATGGTTACTAGAAGGTTATTTTCATGTATTTCCCACCCCCCAAAATAAAATCCATTAATCAATCACTCAATAGTTTTGAGTCTCAACCAAGGCCCTGGCTTCAATCTTTAGAACTGCAAAACAAAATTGTTTTTGAGTATCCATTTTCTACACTTTCTGATAATCCTGTGGCTGACAAAGAATCAATAAACACCATGAAAAATAAAGGTTGAACATAACATTTACCAATTACCTCCTAACTGGCACTCACAATACATGGTTTTCAATTTTCATACCTCTCTGTTGTATGTAAATTTTTTTGATCATTAACGTTTTCTTCTCTGGCATTTTGGTGCATTTTGTCTGGATATCTTTGTCCATTCTGAGCCTCCTTTACTGATCCCTAGATTGCCTGATCATCTGCATGATACAGCTAGTCAGGAAGTGATCAGTGGGTATGGAAAGAAAAGGAACCAAGTGTTGGCTACAGTAGACGTTATTGCTAGAACAGGATGCCTAATGAGCTGTCTCAGCACACACACACACACACACACACACACACACACACACACTTTTGTGTTATCGCAGGAATATAAACCTAAATTTTAAGCCGGCTTTAAAGCATGTATTAATTCAAGTAATTGAAAAAATATGTAAGTATCTGGATCGGGCACTTTTTGATGCAAAGACACAGAATGAGAGACAGAGACAGAGAGAGACACAGAGAGAGACAGAAGGAGATCTAGAACAGGATGTAATGAGCTGTCTCAGCACACACACACACACACACACACACACACACACACACTTTTGTGTTATCGCAGGAATATAAACCTAAATTTTAAGCCGGCTTTAAAGCATGTATTAATTCAAGTAATTGAAAAAATATGTAAGTATCTGGATCGGGCACTTTTTGATGCAAAGACACAGAATGAGAGACAGAGACAGAGAGAGACACAGAGAGAGACAGAAGGAGATCTGACAGAATCTTGAGAGCACCATTAGGTCCAGCATATGTATAACAGGAGTCTCCACTAAATTTTAAGCCGGCTTTAAAGCATGTATTAATTCAAGTAATTGAAAAAATATGTAAGTATCTGGATCGGGCACTTTTTGATGCAAAGACACAGAATGAGAGACAGAGACAGAGAGAGACACAGAGAGAGACAGAAGGAGATCTGACAGAATCTTGAGAGCACCATTAGGTCCAGCATATGTATAACAGGAGTCTCCAAAGCTACGAATAGAGAGAATGGGGAAAGGCAGCATTAGAAGGGGCAACAGCCCTACGTTTTCCTGAAATAATAAATGTACGAATCTTGATATCCAGGAGCACAGTAGTTCTTGATCAGGAACAATAAAAATAAAATTTATTCCCTAGACATCATAGTGATACTAGCAGCGCCAAAGACAAAAGATCTTAAAAGGAGCCACAGGAAATGAATATGCTGACCAAGGAATGTCACTTATGTCAGTAGCACACTTTCCGGTAACAATAATGAAAATAAAGAAGACAAAAGAATGGTTATCTTCAAAGTATTGAGAGTGAAACACTTGATCTATTATATTTGTTTGATGAGACTAATTATGAAATGCAAAAATTCTTAAGGATTTTCCAAAGACCAAATTGAGTACCAAAAAAGTATTGTCCTTTAATATTTCTATCCGTACTGGAAAAATTGCTCAATTAAATGTTTATGTATCATACTAGAAACAATGACACATGTCATAATAATAATATGCCATTCAATGTAAAGTGAATTGTAGTCCTGCCCCCCCAAATTAAAGGTGTATGTAGTGAGTAAATTGCTTTTAGTGCCTCCATTTTACAACTTAAATTGAGGTCATTAAAATCAGAAGCTCAGAGCCTCAGTTGCACTGATCACATTTCAAGTACTCAGAGACACCTGTGTCTAATGGCCACCACACTGGACAGTGCAGTTCTAGAGACCACAGAAGGCTTATATCCATTTTACCAGCCTTCCTTGCAGCTTAGGATAATGGTGTGATCCACCGCTGGCCAAAGAAAACATACAATAAAGTCTAGGCTGGGGAGTGTGTTGCCTTCTGGGAAGGCTTTTGCTTTCTTGATAAAGAAACAAACTGAAGGAAAAAAAATTTGCTAGCCTTATTCTTTTCTTTTCCTTCCAAAATAGGAACATTATATGATGCCTGGAACAAGATGCAGTCATCTTGTTACCATGAGACACCTCACATGGAGAAAAAAAAATTACGTTGAGGATGATTCATGCTAATATATGCTAAGAAGAACCTGAGACCCCAGTGACAATCGCCTACTTGCTTGACCAACTCTGATATCACCTAACTTTGAACGTGGTAAGAAAACAATGATTGTCCTTATAGTGCAAGGCATACAGATCTGCACAGCTGAAAGCATTCCTGACTGATACAGCGTGTGGTCAGCTGTGAAGAGAGGCAGCCTGGTGGAGGTGGATACTGAAAGTAATGGTGAATGAGTTCACAGAGCGGGTGCAGGGCCAGGTAACGGAAGGCTACTAGGGAGATCCCTGAGGTGCCCAGAGTAACATACCTGTCCTTGTCTTCTAGGCCTCAGAATATTTTTCTTTTCTATAGTGTCAGGTATTTTTTCCTACTAGATTTTAGGGCTGATAACTTGTACCCAGAAGGTGTTCAGTAAACATACATTAGTTGACGGCTAGATGCAGACTGGAGGTATCAAGACAAGACTTTTGAGCATGGGTGAAATATTTAACATTAGAAAAAAATTCAGCAAACTAAAGTCCTCAGTAAGACAATCATTAAGCGTTCCTCTAGTGCTATTTCAAATGGAAAGCTTGTGGCTTAACTTTGTATTCCACGAATACCTAAAACGAAAGGACCACAGGGAATTAAATTTTTCCTGGCTCTATTTTCAATTGAATTATGGGTAGTACTTTTATATTTCCTCTGACATTTGGTTTCTGTTGTTATCTCTGACTGTGTAACCTGTAACCTCATGGTGTCTTTTTTGTTTTGCCTCTGAGCTGAGCCCCCATTTCTTTCTCTTTATTTGCCTTCCACAGCATGAGACCAAGGCTCCAACTCCTGTTTGCTTGACCAACTCTATCACCTACCTTAGAACCTGACAAGAAAACAAGGATTGTCCTTATTATATGTGAGTCGTATGAGGGACTGGACATGGTGTCACGTTCTATGGACTGACCTGCCACCATCCAGCCTCATCCACTCTAACCTGACATCCAGTCAGATTCCTTTGATAAAGGCTTCAAAATAGCATGGAATCACCATTAGATTTTCAAACGATCGATTCTTTGTAGAACATGTGAGTATTTCAACTTAAAAAAAAAAAATCTCTTTTCTGACTACCCGGAGATAACGCTGATCACTTTTTAGTCTGCTTTCTTCCAGAATTTTTTCTATGTATGTTTAAATCTAGGTGACATAACTGAAATTATTTTATAGATAAAACTTTCAATTCATCTTCTTCACTTCTCACGATATGAAACACTTCCCACGACTAAAAAACTCTTCCAAAGCATTTGAAAACATAACTGTATGATATCCCTCAGTTGGCCATTATTTCACTTATCTAACCAGATTTTTGTATCATCACCTCTCTTTTCAGATTCCTCACCGTGACTGCCAACTGTCTCTTATATTAAATAAAAATTCCAGCTCTTGGACTCTGTCAGGTGCTGTCCTTCTGAATCTGCCTTTATCCTCCCGCTGGTGTTTCATGTTCTGGCGAAACACATCGGCTCGCTCCTTCCTGCACGTGATTGTCTTCTCTCCCCGGAGTCATCGTTCATCTTCCTCCTCCATCTCTGTCAAATTGTTGCTCTCCTTAAATGTATCGCAGGTGTCACTGCGGTGATCTCCTGCCATCTTCCTCTTTGTATTTCACATATCTGTTTATTTAGTGCATGTGCTTATGACTTCGACAGTCTGTAGCTGACTGTATTTATGTTTCCACGATACAGATGTTATGGCTGGAGAGCATGGAGGGGACCATCGGGAGGGGACCAGGAGTACAAAGTGCAGAGCCAGCATATGGGGCCCCTTCCTCTGACCCCGTCGTCCTTTATGAGACGCTCAGCTCTGGAAGGGAAACGGCTCTTCTGGAAGGGTGGTGGTCGACTCTGGACCAGAAGTATGAAGCAAGACTGCTCTCCTGCCGACTTTGATTAACGAGATAGACTATCAGGCATTTGGAGACCATCTGCATTTCCGTCCTAAATGAAAACATATTTATTTCTGTTGCTAAGTATCTGGAGAATGAAGGAACCATGTGCGCATGGGAGGTTCATCCTCCTCTTGGAAAAAATGATCTCAATTAAATCCAGCAGCTGCTTTAGATTAGCCAATGCATGCAGTATGAATCTGTGGTACTGATATGAGGGTCCCAGGGACTGTCTTTACCTTTGGCTCTTTTGAATCCTTCACCTCACATAAGATGGGAAGTCATGTGGATCTGTTTCAAAGTGCAATCTGGAATCTAGAATACAAAACAGCCACTTGCCTGTTCCTCCCCTCAGCTTCACCGGGCATTACTTGGCAGCACACCTGGACACCGCCTGGGTGATGGGGGCTGAGGGGACCAGGCCAGCCAGGTGGGGCCCTTATGAACACCACTCTGTGGAACAGAGATCTCCTTGGAGCCCCCAGGTCACCTGCCTGGGGATCATTACAACTTGCTGAATTCAGTGCAGTGACACATCTATGAGGGATGAAAGGCCTTACAAGAATGACCTTTTTTATTTTTAGTTAAAAAGTTAAAAAAAATTTTTTTTGTACTGCTGAGGATCCAACCCGGGGCCTTGTGCATGCCAGCCAAGGGCTCTAGACTGAGCTACACCTCAGCTAAGAATTGCTATTTCCATTGTTCATTTTATCACTGTTTATGGAAAACAGATCTCAGGGAACCAGACACACAGTTTGTTTTAGTTTATAGCAAAAGAAAGCTTCCATGTAAATCAGATTCTGTTCCTGTTAGCTACTTGAGCAAAAGTTTGGGTGGGAGTTATCAGCTTTAAGATATATTTATAAATTTAACTGGTCAGGGTCTCTTTTCTGGTGACCCACTTTTCCAAATACTTATGGTGTCAGCAGCTGTCAAAAGACTGATAGCTGCAAGAACTCACTAAAGCATTGAAGATGAAAGAGAAAAAAAAAAA